GAACCTCTTTTGTGTGTGGTTTCCAATTGAATAATAAGAGTTTATACTATACTTGTTTGACATACCATTAGTGGAACCTCTAACCTTGACATTTGTTATTATCATTGTTTAATCCTTACCTTAATATTCCATCTCAAAGTTCTTATCTTCTTCTTCTTCTTCTCCACCTCTTTCTTTATTACTACTACTACTACTACTACTATTATTGCTATTATTATTGTTATTGTTGCTATTACTATTGTTGTTGTTTATAATTGTCGTTTATAAGTTATACAATTAACCTCTTTGTGGTTCGACCCCGGTCTTGCCGGGTTATTTATTACTTCGACACTCCTACACTTAGAAGAAGACATCAATCTTTTCGTCGTGTTAGTCGTATAATTATAAGAGTTTAAAATTTAGAGAGTTATATGAAATTTAATTAAGAAGCTAGCAGATTTTCACAAAGGAGTTATATAATTAATTTAACTATACTTACAAGGCATCATCCTTTTACTATACGAATCCATAATGATAGGTTGATTTTGCTCTTGGTTGGCAAAGTTAGCTATAACGATATATGAGTTTTTTCTCTGAGGCTTATCAATAATTATGTTAAAGAAGGGTGTTAATTAGTAATTTTATGTTTTTTCTACAGTGTAATTACCAAATAACCCTTAAAAAAATTCCCTTTGGTTCAGGAGCTTTTCATGTTTTTTTTTTCTATTTTTATGCATGTTAATTACTTAAATGTCCCTAAAAAAAACTCTTTTTATTATGGATGCAAGGTTATTTTAGGTTTTTTGCTATGTTTTTTTTTTTTAAATTCTTATATGGGGTTAGAGGTGATTTGATATTTTAATATATAAATTAATTTTAAATTTAAAAAGCTGCCAAGGCTGCCTGTATGCTTTGGGTGGCGCATGCGGCGCCCACACAACGTTGAATGCCGTCATTTGGGGCAGCATTTGACGCACCTCACAACCCCCATCATAGTGGTGAGGTGCGAGTTTGTTGGCGACGCACGGTAAAAAACAAAAAAAGTCTAGCTATTTGTTTCTTAAGTTAAATTAAGTCCTTATTCTTTTTTATTGCAATGTATTTTGTCTTAAATCAATTATTGAGTTAATTTATTGTTTCAATTTCTTCCCTTAATACTTTATTTTTATATCAAATTTAGTCCCCATTCTTTTAATTGCAATGTATTTGATCTTGGATCATAAATTAAGTTAATTATTTTTTCAATTGCATCCCTTACACTTTGTTTTTATATTAGATTTGGTTCTCATTATTTTCATTATGATATTTTTCATCTTGAGTCATTTTTTGAATGAATTTGTCTTTGGATTTCTTCCCTTAACATTTTATTTTTATATCAAATATGATTTTTATTTTTTTAATTGTTATTTTTAGTTGGTTTTATCATTTTCTTAATAGAAATTGTTTTTCAATTTCATCCATTATGATTTTTTTTATATCAAATTTGGTTCTTTTTTTTTTCAAATCTACATTTTTGAATCATTTTTATTTTTTTTTCATGTTTATCTCTAATTATTTTGGTTGATTTATAATTTTACATTATTTTCCTTTTGCGTCCTGCGATGTAATCTAGTCTCATGATATATGTCATAAATTTTGAAAGTTATATTGAGTTCGCTTTAGTTATTTTTAAAAATTTTATTTATTATAACACCTCACCTTACTAGCAAGATATTGTCCGCTTTAGGCCTTCCAGTCCACTCAAATCTAGGGTTTCCACCTAGATCCCCCTTATGGTTTTATTTTTGACAGTCATGCATGACCTCAAAACACGTCTTACTAGTAAAAGTGAGCATGCATTTATAAGACCCTAACTTTAAACTCTTGCTTCTGATGTGGGATCTTACAATCTCCCCACCTTAAGATGAGCTGTCCTTGATTTTGATACCAAATGTAACACCCAATCTCACTAGCACGATATTGTCCGCTTTGAGCTTCCTTGTCCAACCAAATCCAAGGCTTCCACCCAGGTCCCCCTTATGATTTTGTTCTTGGCAGTCATGCATAGCCACAAAACACGTCTTACTAGTCAAGATGAGCATGTACTTATAAGGCTCTGGCTCTTGACGGTCTAGCCCAACATGCTGGATATTGTCCGCTTTGAGACTCCTAGTCCATCCATTTCTAGGCTTCGACCTAGGTCCCCCTCATGGTTTTATTTCTGGCAGCCATGCATGGCCCTAAAACGCATCAAACATACTAGCAACCAACACCGTTTATAAGGCCCTGACTCTAAACACTCGTTTCTAATATGAAATCTCACATCCATTATTATTATTGAGTTCGTTGAAAATTAATTTTCTTTGTTTTTTTATATTTGAATTCTTTTGTGAATTTGATTTTTTTATTTTTCCTTTCAATTTAATATTTTTTGATATTTAAAGTTTGATATAATACTACTCATGAGTTTTAATGACTTTACTTAATTTTATTATTGTTTTTTAATTTTTTTTATAAATTTTTATTTTTATTTTATCGTTTTATATTTTGATATTTTGATTAGATGATTATTACCATTATATATATATATATATATATATATATTAAATCGTTGATTTTTTTTTAAAATTTTTAAAATATAATAATAACACTTTGACATTAGCTTTTTGAACGGTAACGAAGGCAAAGCATGTAAAATCAATCTAATTATTTATTATATCCGTTAGCCACCAATCTTCTTCTCTCACACGCCATCATCATTTAAAACGTATAATAAAGCAGCCCATTTTTCAAGAGGAAATAAAACACACTCACTTCCTCTCACTCAATTCCATTTTCCAGGAAAAAGCAATTTCTATTTCTGTATCCGTTGGAATAGAATGATGGATCTGTGGGCAGTCCATGTAAAGAATACAACTGGAAGCCCTTTTTGTTTGAGAAATCATTCAATTCCAGAGAGATCATTTGTTTCCTCCAATTTTGGGAAATTTAGGGTTTTGAAGCATAACATTTCTTCTTCCGGGTATCATTCTTTGGGAGTTAAAGCTATGGCTAAGAGGAATAGTAATGATAACTCCAATTCCTCTTCTTCTTCTCCTTCTGGTGCGTTTTTTTTGTTTTATTTTGTTTTTGATATTAAGGTTTTTATTCATATTGAAATTTAGGGTTGAATTATTGGTTTGATTTGTGTTTATCATTTTTGGTATGGTTTTGATGATACTATGTGATTTGATATTTGTATTGAATAAAAAAGAGATTGAGATTGAATGGATGAAAAGAAATGGACTTTATTTAGTGTAATTTTTTTCTTCTTATTTTTGTTTTTTATGCAATTAGAGAAATCTGAAGGGATTGGAAAGAGTGAATCCGAAGAGAAGTGACCCGTTTGGATTTGGTTGACTTTCTGAGGAAGGCAAATTTTTGGTGAAATTATTAAAATTACTGCTATGGATAATGGAATTGTAAGTGGATATGTTGAAATCTTAAATCTGTAGGTAAAAATGTCATGGAAAACCCAGTTCCTCTAGTTTGTGTGATTTAAAGTTTCGGTTGATTTGGACATAGACTGTGCTCTAGTTTGCTTGGCGTAATTGGGTAGCAGACTTAGGCTGTTTGTTTTTGTGGTTGAAATTGCGCTTAGGTGCATTTCAAAAGTGTGTTTGACATGAAAAATATCAAATTGATGTTTTTTTAGTGTTTTCCAATGATTTTGATGTGCCAATACAAAGAATAAAAAAAATAATTTTAATGCATTTTCAAGCAGAAAAAAACTCTACACCACAATACCAAACACACGCTAACTCTTTATGTGGTTAAGTTGTAGGCGGCTGATTTTCTGGAAGGATTATTATGGTTATTGAGATCAGCAATGCTGCTTCTCTTGTTAGAGATAAAGGTTGTAGCTTTAGGGTTTTTGATAAGTGAATTGTTAACTTTTGCTTAGAGTTTATTTAGTCAACCAGTGCATTGATTGATAAATTTATTATTGAATTTTGGCTTTGTTGTTGCTGCCTGATGTGAAATAAATTGTAACTTTAATAAATGGAAAGAAAAAAATGGAAAATTGGTTGGGCTAGAGCATGTATGATATCTTTCGAAGACACCAATCCTTTCAAGATCCCTAAGATCTCCCCTCTACAGCCTTATCAACTCCATCTCCTTCATTCTCTAGGATGGCTGAAAATAATATTTTAAAAATATATTCTGATTGTGGAGTTTGGTAGAATGGATGAAAAAAACTCTTGTGCGATAAATTGACCTGTATAAAATACTTCAATTCATCATATACAAGATTCATGCAAGACTCGACTCAAAGGGATTTTGAAAGGTTAAAGTTAGATATTTGAATATTAATAGAAATTTAGTAGTGTTAATTTTTTCATTACAAACTCTCCCAGCAGACTCCCTACATTCTCATGAACTAACATCTTGCAATCTTCAATATATTTATCACGTGTCTCATCAAGAATATAGGAGAGTCGCAAACCAGTGCTTGGCCTAGCAGTGGAAGGGGCTTGTCTCCTTCCACTGCACCTGGGTTCGAGCCCTGGCGTGCACGCCTGTCACCTCTGCGGTGCCTTACATGCCTACTGGATTTGCAGGGTATTCAGTGGGCCGTGGGGATTAGTCGTGGTGCGCGCCTGGCGTGCACGCCTGTCACCTCCGCGGTGCCTTACATGCCTACTGGATTTGCAGGGTATTCAGTGGGCCGTGGGGATTAGTCGTGGTGCGCGCAAGCTGGCCCGGACACCCCACGTAAAAAAAAAAAAAAAAAAGAATATAGGAGAGTCTATTAGAAGCCTTTGCTAGAAAAATAACATAATTCCGGACTAAATCTCGAGAGCAGTGACATGGATTATTTTCCTCCATTCAATTATAGTTGGGGCCACCACATTGTGAGCTAATTTGGTCCTAAATTATTTTTTACCACTTCATTCCATGTTATTCTTGCTGTACCACACCTCATATTCACGAGATTTACTTTTATGGTACTGTCCTAGCAATGACCTGAATTTTTATTATTTTCACAATTTAGGGTACATAAAATATTGATTTGGTTCAATCACATGTTTTGGGCGATCCAAGTGATTGCTAGTTTGATTCTATGTAAGAAAATCTCTATATTCACCCTTTTACTTCACTTTATTCACTTTCATTGCTAAATGAATCAATATGGTGGAAACACAAAAAATGATTTCATAAGAAACTAGCAAGACCACAGCAAGGTGGAGGTGGCATCTATGAGGGTATGATAGTAAGGTTATGTGATTATTTATGGAAACACCCATACTTGTAAGTGGAATCAGATTTTCCTTGTAAAAGAGGTAAAAATTCTGGTATCAATTACAGGAGTAGGTTCAAGGTTTATAGCTGTTGTAGGTTCTGTATTATGAACAGTATCATTGGGATTTTTCTTCTGTGTATTATGCTAATTGATGGGATTCAATGATTGGGGTTTTTAAGGGAAATTGTTGAAGGTTTCAAGAAGTGACAATTCTATCTGAAATTTGATTGCTTGCAAACATATTTTTATAGAGTATTTAATTGATCTTAGCTCTGAAGGACCTGGCTGCTAATTCTATCAGCTCTTTGAGTCCCACATCACATACTTTTCAGTTTTGACAACCAAATAAATTGCTGCTAATCATTTGTGGTCAAAGAATCTGGGTTTTACCAAATTAATGGTGTCTCTCAATGATGCAAGCAGTTACTGTTTAATACAGTCTACTCATCACCACTAAGAGATGGTTGCATGTGTGCTTTTCTGCCAGATTTCCCAATTGTTGTAAATATTTGATAGAAACTTCCCTGCTTATTTAGTTCATCCAATTGTATGTATGCCACTGTGGAATTATGTTTGCTTCCTCTAATGATTTAGTGATTGATCACTATTGTTTCCTTATCATTTTATATTTTTTCAGTGCTATAGTTTAATCATCATGTTTGTTGAGGACATTTGCCATGTTGAACCAGTCATTTTGAACCGTCATTAGAGTATTACATTTTCCCCTAAATAAAACAATAAGAGATAAAGAAAAGAAAGAGTGGTAATAATCATTTTTCATTATAAATCTTTCACTAATACACCATTATTACTGATGTTACCTGCTTTCATTAGCCATGCTCATTGAGTTTGTTCCAGTAGTTCTAGAAGTGGATAATACTATAATATGCATGCAGATTATTGGAATACATTACTTTTATTCACATTTTTTCTTTAGGGACTGGTTGCATCTGTTACCAAGGGGATAGATTCATTGATTTGGTTTGTTATTTTATTCTTTTCCTTGTTTTTGGGGAAATATGTAGGGGCGAATTAAAGGATATTTATACACTGCATGTTTAAAATTCTGAGTACAGTTGTCTTTTTTTTGTACCCTTTCTAGTACACCCTTTATTTCATTCTGGCTGAGAATCAGCACACATAATGACAGATTTGCTCGTTTTGAAAGTTATACTATTGTTTTTGTTATGATTAAATGAACACAGCCGGAATGTGATGCCTTGATCGTGAAGGAAAGTTAGTATATTGAATTTTGAGTTAATTATAACTTAGTTTTGTAGTTTATGAAAATACATTAATTAAACCCTGTAGTTTATCAAAAACAATTAAATAGTCCTTTGACTTGAGCTAACCATCTTTAATTTAGTAGTATTTTTATTTCAAAAAATGCCCTTTTTTTCTCACCAATCTTTCCATCCTATCTACATGTCTTTTCCTCTTTCTATTTCCCAAAATAATAAATAATTATAAATTGGAAAAAGACATGAAATAGACGAAAAGGATGGAGTTATAAATGGATTTAAAAACATAAGGATTAAATATATAGTTTCTGAAATCATGATGACTAATTAATTAGTTTTGCTGTAATACGGGAACTAAGTTATATAATTTACTCTTGATTTTTTGTCTGCTAAAGTTGCAAATTAATTTAATTTTGCATGGTATGTGTACAGGAAATGGAGATGGCTCAAAAGGAAGTAACCATCCTGATGGGAACAAATCCAATGACTATGCTTCCCAAAAGTCTCACAGGGTAAACTTGGACTGGAGAGAGTTTAGAGCAAATTTATTTGCTCAGGAGCAGGTGAACTTTCTTTACTTATTGGGCTGTATATCTGTTTTGTTTTGAATGTATTAATTATGAAGCTCTAGAAGATGACTTTTAACTTTCATGTTATGGCTCACCGTTTGACCCTTTATATTTGGACAATATAAACTTTCATTTGCTGTCACACTAGATCTTTAGATGGTCCAGCATAGCAGCATGAATTCCCATTTGATTTCTACCCTGTCTAGTTTGTTCATGAATGAGCTGCTCCATATAAGGAAAAAAAATAAAATCTATTTCATGATTTTGTGGAAGAACTTGATTTTCTAGCTCCTCCTGGGTTCTCACTTCTCAGTAAATGGCTTGGTCCGTCAGAAAAGGGGAAATAACTTAATTAACATTTGAAGCATTTGATTGTTTTTGTATGTTCCTACACTGTTTCCATGACCAAATGAATGACCCCAAATTTCCCTAGAGGTTATGAGTTATTCTCTGGTGTAATTAGGTCAACAAAATTTCCCTAGAGCTTATTGTCAAGTTTGCTTGTTCTTTTTAACCCCCCTGGAAGCAATAGTGCCATTTTGTAGTTATGATGGATCTAGCTTCCTATCAGATTGGTTCATTCACATAGCGATGAGTCAAAACAGACTCCATGATTTTATAACATGAAAATCTGAGTAATTTGATGAAGATGTGAAATTTATGCTGTATGGACTTCAAAATTTGCACTTGGAAGTGTTTTCACAGGAAGAGAAGGCAGAATCTGATGCTCACAGCCAAACTGGGACACCCCAAGAGTCGAAACCCCTTGGCCTGAAATGGGCCCACCCTATTCCTGTACCTGAGACTGGTTGTGTCCTTGTTGCTACAGAAAAACTTGACGGAGTTCGCACTTTTGAAAGAACTGTTGTTCTCCTCCTCAGATCTGGAACCAGACATCCACAAGAGGGACCATTTGGAGTTGTCGTTAACCGTCCACTGAACAAAAAGATTAGGCAGATGAAGCCCACAAATATGGAATTAGAAACCACTTTTGCTGATTGTTCTCTTCATTTTGGTGGACCTCTTGATGCAAGCATGTTTTTATTAAAAAGTCGGGAGAAGAAGATTAAAGAGTTCGAAGAGGTGATCCCTGGCCTGTGTTTTGGTGCTGGAAATAGTTTGGATGAAGCTGGAGCACTTGTGAGAAAAGGGGTGCTGAAGCCTCAGGATTTCAGATTCTTTGTCGGTTATGCTGGGTGGCAGCTAGATCGGTTGAGGGAGGAGATTGAATCAGATTATTGGTATGTGGCTGCATGTAGCTCAAATCTGATTTGTGGGGGTTCATCAGAAAGTTTATGGGAGGAGATTTTGCAGCTAATGGGTGGTCATTACTCGGAACTAAGCCGAAAGCCCAAGCAGGATATGTAGGTAATTATGAGCTATCGGTGTTCCTGAAATCAAGAAGCCGTTCCTGAAGCTAAAGCCAGATATGTAATTAAGGTAATGAAGCTAGATGTACATAAACTTACCATCTTTATTAATTAGAATCTCTTTTTTCTCCTCTCATTTTCCCGTAATAACCTGGGTATCACGGCTCTTTTATGTATCGATGAACTCTTTAAAATCACTTAAGAAAAGTTACGCAAGTCTCCCTGTTGCAATCAATCCTTGTTGAAAGTTATTTCTGGACAATTTTCGTAAGTGATTTCGTATTTCTTAAGTGATTTCTGGACAAGGACTGACTTCTTTGGACAATTTTCAACTGGGATTTCTTATTTCTTTAATTTAATTTATTTCTGGATGCGGATTTCTTGTTTATTGTGAAAGGCTTGGATTGTTACAGTCAACAGGCAATAAAAAACACAAAGCATCATTTAGCCATTAAACTACATACAAGTCGACTCCTAGCACAACTGAGCTTTATGTTCATTAAAATAAAATTGGAATTGCCAGGTGCCGCCCTCCACACTCCAGTCCCCATATGAGCTTGGCAATCATATAGATTAAGCGAGTGATCATCTGTAAGCATCTATGGATCTCATCACGAAATCTTGACGGGCTAGTGTCCAAATTACTAGCAGGGAGAATGAAAGTACATCTGTTCCAGTGTTTTCAGTAGTTACTTGCAAGATGCTTTACAACTTCTGAATACCGTAGCTGCTAATTAATCAACCCTCCTATCTTACTATACAGAACGAAGTCCTCACCATTTCATGTATTTTCAAAGAAATACAAGAACCTCCCTCCCTCCTTGTCAAAATGGAGTCTCACAATCCCCATTCATATACAATTTCTATCTCAGTGAAGCTCACAGTGCATTTTATATCTGCTTTTGCTTGATGGCAGGACAAAGAAGCTTCCCACTTGAGAGTGGTTCTGCAGGGTGAGGAGAAAGGCACCACGAGGATGCGACGGAGTAATTGTTTTGAGAATTACCCTTTGTATCGTCTGTTGTTGTGTAGTTGCCCATAACCATCAAGGTTATCTCTGGTCCCCGACTTTTCAAGACGTGCTTTACGAACGGCCTGCTGGATTTGTCTATCGTGCTCTTTGAGTATTTCTTCCATGTTCCCCCCAGGAGGCATCAATGGTCCAGAATAATGGATTCTGGTTTTCCTGGGAACATACCCCCCCTGAAACCAGAGTTTCCATATTTGTTAAACGATCAAGAACAACACAATAACGCCACAAATCAACGAAATGAAAAGAAGGATAAAAAACTATGTATGAAGAAATAGAAGGAGATAAGATTGAGATAAAAATGTGAAAACATCTTAGCACTTGGATGAATTTATCGTTTTGATTTTAACATTCAACTGTTTGATAGAATTTTTTTTGAAAAATAGATGAAGGTTTGATGATTCTTTACCATTGAAGAATCTCTGCTCGGAGGAGCCTTTTCATTCTTCTTAAGAGAGGAGCTAGACATCTCCCCTGATTGAGACTCGTGAGATTTCTGTGCCCTCAATTCTGGATTATTTCTTGAAGAACCTGCACTTTTATTTGACGACATTCCTGCTACTGCGGAAGGGTGAATCATTGAAGTAGAGTGCTCGAAACCATTCTGCTTCGATACTCTTGGAGGCTCAATTCGGAACCCAGTCCCCGCATCCTCCAGGATATAATATTTATAGCTGGAACTTGCAGTTTTTGGCTGTGCCTGAGCAGTGAATTCCGGAGTGGGAGCTTTCTTAGTATCTATTGAACCCCTTCTGACAGATTCAGGTCCTCGTCCTTTTACAGCCTCTGCTCTTTGCCTGAAAATATCAGAATGTCAACAGGATATTTAATTTACTTGTGAAATTGCTAATGAAAGTTATCGAAGATTACATTTCCCCTCAACATGTCACATACCTTCTGGCTTCCTCATCTCGCAACTTGGCATCCAGTTCTTTGCATGGAGAATATTTTGGTAGACTTGATGGATCAGAAGGGAGGGGCTCTATTCTGAAGAACTGAGAAAATTTCAATAATAATTAAGCCGATCCAATTCAATGGTCTAAACGCTCGTCAAAGGCAATCTGATTCAGTTACACTTTCATTCAACAAGGACAAATTCAGGAAGCAACTAGTACTAGATGTAACAAATGATTCAGTTTATACTTCATTCGGATAAAAAAGTTTAAGAGAATTTAGACAGGAAAACTCGACTTGGGTGGCCAAGAGTAAGCTGCTTTTCACCAGAAAATGGTTTACAAGTCAACTAGTGACTGCTGGAAGCTATATGATGTTATATCGGTGCTTTAGGTTTGATGTGCACGACTCCGATAACATTGGTGCTTTAGGTTCGATGTGCACGACTCCTTAAGCAGATTATATTAAGAAGTTTTTGACAGGAATTTGGTCTAAAATAAAATAAATTATTAGAAATAATTACCTCACTTCGAATAGCTGAAGTGGCTGAACCTCGGTCTTGTGGTTCCATTGACAGGAGCTTATCAACAAGGGTCAAAGCTGACGGAGGGAAATGTTTGAATGTCTCAGTAATACATCGTATGTAAGATTGCTGAGGTTTGAAACTAGTTGCATGTGGAAACTTTGTCTTCTGCCAGTAGATCTCAGAGGGTGAACCACAAAGCTTAAAAATCTTATGCATTTGCTCTACCTGTAATCATTAATTAAGACGATAGTTCTTAGGACCGAATACAATACTGTGGAGTAGATACTACAAAGTCATGCATTGTGAATGAACATCCATGATACGTTAACACTTTTCTTCTGATTATTTCATGTAGGTGCTTAACTGGGCATCTTGAACTTGCGTGGAGATATGAAAAATACTGTAGAGCTTAGAAGGAAGTTGAAGATTCCAAAGTACGGAAGATTAGTAATGCTTGTTGCCCAGTGCTGGCTGAGATGCAAGCAAGATGCCGTACATGCAAAATGAGCTTACCTCTGTTCTTCCAGGCATGATAGGCTTGCCAGCGAATAATTCAGCAAGAATGCAACCAGCACTCCACATATCTATGCCAGGTCCATACTCTGTAGCACCTAGCAAAAGCTCCGGTGCCCTATACCAGAGAGTTACTACGCGACTTGTTAAAGGCTGACTCTGATCAGGATGATAAAAAGTTGCCAGACCAAAGTCTGCAATCTTGAGGACTCCATCGTTGTTTATCAGAAGATTTGAGCCCTTGATGTCTCGATGCAAGACACCTTGTTTATGGCAGTGCTCAAGTCCAAGTAGAAGTTGTTGCACGTAGCATTTGATCTGCAAGAACAAGTAATTTCCTTGTAAGACAAGACATGAATGGCAAGTTGACGACGTTATATCACTTTCATAGTAGCAGAAGAAGCTAATTTCCAAGTATGAATAACCGTAAAATTGAACAGATAAGAACATAGGTACCTGAGGTTCCGTAAACTTGATGCTAGGATTTGCTGCAAGCCCAGCAAGGTCATCCTCCATGTACTCAAACACAAGGTACAAGCTCCCTGACATCCTCGAAGTGACTATTCCTTCAAGTTTCATAACATTGGGATGGTCAAGTTTACGCAAGTTAACAATTTCCCTAGCCATGAAGCGGACACTTTCGGGATCCATGTTGACAAACCGCACCTTCTTCATTGCAACAATTTTTCCAGTTTCAAGGTCACGAGCCTTGTATACAGTACTGTAAGTTCCTTGTCCAATCTGCACATGATTTCATTTAGAAAAGAAAAACATAACAAGGCCTTAAATGATACAATCCAGACCATGTTTGCTAATTTCCCTTGTGTTTGTAGCTAGAAATCAACTTTGCACGCACATATGCAACTGATACACTAGTTCAGTAAATATTTCTTTCAATCAGAATTTCTGCTCCATAAATGTGTCTGATTCTTCAGGACTGCTATAAATCTAATACAAATGACTGACTGTGCTTCTCTAGCATCCTAACATTTTATTTAATCTTTCTCACTGCATGCATTTTTAACTGGTTATAATGAAATTTATTTTCTTTTAGTTTTTTTTTTCATATGACTATTTCATACATCTTAGCAGCATATTAATATTATCCAAATGCTAAATCTTAACAACAAGAAATGCTCAAGATTACAGTTTTTTCGTGTCACAACTTCAAAACATGTAAAACTATCTAATTCAACAGGCAAGTGAAAATAAGTTTCACAAGCATGAACCTTGTCTAGCTTCTCAAATGAGTCTGCTCGTCGAGGCAGCCACCCTTTGACGGCTTCACCAGCAACTGCTGTTAACCATTCTGGCCATGCTTCCCTTTCAGATCCATGACGTATGCTAATCATCATGCTCACACGTGGTTGGTCGTCATTGGACTCTGAATCCATTGTTATCGATCTATTGTGTCCTTTAGTCTTCACATCAACAAGTTCCCTTTCCTTTTCTCCTTCTTCCAATGAAACAGTAACATTCCCGACATTTGCCTTCGACACACGACGCACCGATCTATCTTTTTGGCCAAGAAAATCTACCAACATCTCTTCTTTCTTGGATATTGCAGGAGCAACCATTTGCACAGAAGACTTATCCACCCCTGTCTGCTTCTGATCATTCGTATTGCTATTTACATCTTCTTCGGCAGCTCCTTTTGAGCAAATGCAGCCCATGATCTCAGCTCTATCCCAACAGAACCGCTTTAAAATTTCCCAAAACCACCACCACCACCACCACCACCACCCTTTGCCGTTCTGCTGCAATGAATATTTAAATTGGTGCCCTTGGATTTATGCTGGGAACCCAAGTTTACCATTTTTGTCAATCTCACAAATCAATGGAGCATTGGCAAATATCTCAATATTGTAGTTGCTCTTAAAACCAAGATCTTTGTGCCCCTTTTAGGAAACACAATCACTCTATCCAAGCTTGCAAGGCTTTTTGAAAAGCACGAGAGCCAGCACAGAATTTCCAAATGGGAATGTTGTCGACGTCAAGAAAGCTAGGCAAGGATATCAAAGAAGAGACGATTCGAATGAAAAAGATAACACAAAGACTACTAAGGAAATAAAATCCAAAAGAATCAATATATGAATCTTCTATTGTAAGAGAATTTTGGACAAGGGAAATAAATCTAAACAGACCAGGAATCCCTGCACAGAACAGATCAAGAAATATGGCTACACGTACTTTTTCCCTTTCCCAACAAGCAATGTTTGATAAGAGAAAAGAGAAAAAGAAAAACAGCATCCACAATATTGTTGTATAATGCAGGAATTCTCGCAGGCCGTTCTGGGTCAGAGGTTTTTTTTTTTATAATAAAAAAAACAATGAAATTTCTAATTCTATTTTCCTTTGGGTGAGTTTAATTTGGTTAGCTTAGAGAGTAGAGATTAGAGACAAAAGGGTGGACAGACATTAATGAAAAATAAAAAAAGATAAGAATATCTGGAAAGAAGAAGGTGCGTGAATCTGGATAGTCCCTAAAAAGCCGAGAGGCCAAAGAATTTTGGGATTTGACAGGCTGTGTGGTTGCCTTTTCAGTTTTCTTGCGCCATTGCCATTGCATTTCTCATCCCTAACCCTAACTAAAAAAAAGAAGAAAGAGAATAAAGAAAGAAAGAAAGGGTTGATAGCTAGGGTTGGTGAAATCTTGAAAAGTCGGCCTTGAGAGACAATCAAGGAAAAGAGTGGGCTGCCTGAAAGCACAGACGTGCATGGCAGTACGTGAGTTTAACGAGTGACGTGTGCTTCTTCAAGTCAACTCTTCCATTCAAGAAACAACTCTCTCTTTTCCACCAGACAAGCATGGCCATTAGTATAGTAAGCAGCACGTCGGAGGTGATCATAATATTTTTCTTTGTAGAATAGTCAATCTTGATAATTTTATTTTTATAAGAGATATGAGCAAAAATAATAAGGATTTTTTTGCCAGGAACAACATGCCCAGCAAAACCCAATTAACCTCCATCACTCAAATATGTTAAAGATTTGGGTAAATTAAAATAAAAAAATAAAAAATAAAAACAACGTTACTCCTTGCCAATTTACGCCATCAATTTGCCCTTAGGATTGCTTAAAGTCACCCTTCCATCTAGTCCCTCTTAAGAATAATAATTAACAAAATCTTCAAATAACTCTTACGCCATGAATAATATTTTTTAATATATATACATATAACTTAAAACACAATGTATCTTTAACCTATGTAACGAGTTTTTGGCTAATAACTCCTAGACTAGTTGGGCTTAGGGCATTATTTGTCTTTTTAACTCTACGAGCTTAGTAACTCGGGTCGCACTTATTTTCCTTTTTAAAGATATAATCATTAACCTTTTATTTGTAATTAAAAATATTATTAGTAAATGAAAATATCTGATAGTTTGTAACTTGAAGGCAGTATAATTAAAATGCCCATAAAAATCCCATAGTATTAGCTAATTAGTTTGTCAAACAAAAAATTGGTAAACAGTTTTTTTTTATTTCTTATTGGATATTTGAAATAAAATTAAAAAAAATCTTAACTCGAGTGAATACAAAATTCAAAATTTTCCAGCATCAAATAAATAAAATAATTGGAAGAATCGTTTAATGATTTATTTTATAAAGTTTTAATTATTGTTATTTTAATCACTTTTTTATGAAATAATATCTGATAATATGATACATGTCCTTTTCTAAAAAAAAATATTAATAAAAAATTACATTAATCATGAATGAAAAGACGTTCGTTATCTGACAAATATTCAAATTATAGGTATCCAATTACCTAAATTAGAACTATAGAGATATTTTATAAAAAATCAATACTACATAGACCTTTAGTGTTAGTTAACCTAACATAAACCCCATATAATTTGGTAGTAATATATGGAATCGCTAGGTTTTTTTTTTTTTTTTTCCAATCTTATATGTGCTAAACTATGTATTTTTGAGATCTGTGTAACTACATGTCCAAATGAAGAAAAAAAACACTATATAATAATGTATATTTATGTTTGTTTGATATTTTTTGTTTTCAAAATTAAATATTTTTCATTTTTTTTTATATATTAACACTATTTTTTGGTTGGATTTAAGACAAGTCATTTACAAATGAATTGATGTATTCATTTAAATTCTCTTTCTCCTCGATACGGCCCTTCTTGAATTTGCATTCGAAAAGCATGTAATTGAAAGTAACCAACTTACCATAAAAGTTAATTCTTTATCAATAAATAATGTTATTAAATCTTAGGATTACTCAAATTGTTAATTTAGTTTGGTATTCTAAGTATCTTTTGTGACTGTGATTTTAATAAATAAATTTTTTAAAAATATTTTTAATTTTAATTTTAAAAGGGTATATTTTAAAAATAATATGTTTGATTAAAACTATAGTGAGATGTATTTATGCATACAAAATAAATAAATAAAATAAGTTTATGAATTAAAAAAAAATTATTTTCACTTCTATAAAATTAAAATTTAAAACATAATTATGTAAAATACTCAGTGCAAAAAGCAGAAGCTATTTGGCTAGCGAAATATATTTTTTATGTGGTTATGCAAAAATTAAAAGTTACCACAACATCAAATAATTTTTAAATTAATAGATAAATTATTGAATCATTCATAATATTATTCTACATAAATGATAAAATGGTAAGTTCATAATTTTTTTTAAAAAGATATTAAATTCTAGCTCCATAAACCATAGCCTATACTTTTCCTTCTTTTCATTTCCTTTTATTTTAAAAATAAAATTGAGTTAGTACTTGGTCAATTGATATAACCGACTAAGTTTGGTAAGATATGATTAACTTTTATAAGTCTCTTGCGAATCCAAATTTTAACATCAACTTGGACCAGCCATACAAAACCTTTATTTTTTTTAACAAAATAACACTAAACACCTTAATATCTTTAGAGGTGCCTCCATCCAACTTTTTCCAATAATTAGCTTCAATTCTATTTATTTTTTTATTTTTATTTTTTCTTACTCTTTTTTTTCTTTCTTCTTTGCTGTGAATTAATTTTTAATTAAGACTCAACTTATGATAAAACAACAACTATTTCTATCAAATAAAAACTGAAATTCTAGATCTCAAACTCTTTAAAAAAGAATGTCTATTCTAGGAAGCATCACCGAGTAGAAAAGGACAAGAGTTTAAAGAAAATAAATATAGAAATTTAAATATACTAGAAAAAAACTAAATAAAAGCAATAAAATAATAATAAAACCCTTTGAGTAAAAGATAAACAAAGTTGCATGAATTAAATATATAGGGTTAGCCATCATTCACAGTGATTATATAACTCTTTTTATAGTATTATAAAGTTTGAGTACTATTTAACTAGGTAATCCTAATCTTACACACATATACACACAAATAAGTTCTTTTTTTTACTAAATACAACTTTTTTTTACTAAATACAACTTTTTTTTACTAAATACAACTTTTTTTTAACTAAATACAACTTTTTTTACTAAATACAACTTTTTTTTACTAAATACAACATGAATCCTAAGCTAACTTATGACCTAGACTAGTTATTCTATTGATGACTTTTGTTTTGAATAGAACTATATTTTCTAGTTATTCATGCATGTTCAGAATTTATTGGTTGATCACTTCTTCTTAGTTAATTGTGACTTCTAGTTGCTTAGTCAATCATTCTTTCTACTCTCTTAGTCATTCAAGGAATTTTACAACTTTGTCGATTCTTTTAATTTATAGTCAATTTAAGCTCTCTTGTTATTTGTTATGAACAATCATTGTTTTTATTTGGATGACACATACTTATTTATTTTTGGTGTAAACACCTTTTCCACCTTTTCTTATTTTATTTGTAAAACTAGAATTTAATTTTCTCTGTCTTTTTTAATAAAGATCTAATAGATTATTTAGATTATATTTTGTATATTTTATGAATGAATCCCAATTTCTATTTAGATTTATGTATTTTTCTCTCTTACAGAGGGTTATATAGCCTCTCAATCAAAAAAAGTATCATAAAGATTTTGGGTTTTGAGTAAAACTTCGTAATTTTATAGGAATTTTAGAGGAATTCAATAGGAAAATTGCCCTATTTAGCACTACACATGCATAGATGACAATATTTGATACCTTTTAGGAGATGTACCTAGAAGACCTTTTTGTTGGGAAAATTTATATTGAGTTGGAAGAAGGAGATAAGTAAGGTGATTTCATAATTATGAATGGTTACTTATTTCATGGTGTGCAATCATGTATTCCTAATTATTTTATATTGAAACATATCATCCATGAGATGCTTTGAGAGGGACACTTTGGGCATGAAAAGACCCTGGTCTTAGTGTCATCAGATTACTCTTAACCTAAATTGTTAGGTCATGTATCAAGCTTTGCGAAGAGGTGTGCAATTTGTTAGTGATCTAAATGTGTCTTAACAAATACTAGTTTGCATACCTCATTATTAGTTCAAGATACTCATTGGTTGGATATCAATATGGATTTTTGGTTGAGCTTACCATATATCCAACAAGCTATGGGTTTGATCTTCATAGTTGCTGATATGTTTTTAAATATGGCTAACTTTATTGCTTGCTAAAAGAACATAAATGCTTCTCAAATAGGCCACCTTTACTTTAAAGAGATGGTTCACCTACATAAAGTCCCCATGTCCATCACCTTGAACTAGGACATGAAGTTTATGAGTAAATTCTAAAGAAGTTTGTGGAGAATTCTTGGTACTTAGAAAATATTAGCAATGCTTATCACCCTTAAACAAATGAACATACAAAAGTGGTCAATTTGAGCTTAAGGAGTTTACTATATTGCTTGGCATGAGACAAGCCTAAGCAATGAGATATGTAGCTTAGCAATAAGTAGATTTTGCTTATAATAGGTCTAGAAATTGGACTACCCAACTGAGCCTATTCAAGATTGTATGAGAATAAAATCCTAAGTTGAGCATATCAAACAATATATTATAAATAATAATGCTAAGTTAAAGCCTAATTTGATACTCATTATAAGAAGGTCATATTTGAGGTAGTTACTTTGTTTGGGAAATTCATCCTCATGATAGGTTTTTGACGGGGGAGTATCGAATAAGAATAAAGGAATTTGTGAATCGTTATAAAAGATCAATGATAACCTTTATCAACTCTGCCTTCCAAGTCACTTAAAGACTTTTGATGTTTTTAATATGCAAGATTTATAACCATACTTGGTGGATGATCATAACTCATAACTCATAACTTAAGGATGAGTTTTTTTTAACTTAGAAGATTGATGTAGGCGAGTCAAAATAATCTAAAGTATCTAAATAGCTAAACGGGGATTTGTCACCAATGGATCATACAAAAAGCCTAATAGACTTCTATATGAACCAGTGAGATAGAACAAAGTTTAAGAAAAGGTTTAAGAAAAGACCTGGTTAGGCCAAACTAATATCTTGACAAAAAAAGGCTAAACTTTCTATCCAACCATTTAATCATGCTCAAATTCTGTGAAATGATTATATAGGTCTAGTTCTATAGAAGGCCCTACTAACTATAGCCACTCAAGTTTTGAGAACTCTCAAATTCATGAAGATGTTGTTTGAGTTAATTTTATTATTTCAACTTACTTTTCACAATTTCATGTTAATTTTTAATTTTGTGTTATTTTTCTTTTTAGTTTTAGGATTCTTATATTTTTACTTTGTAAAGTTTGATTTCTAACCTATTTAAAGGGTTGTAAATTTCTTAAAATGATAGACTACATATTATGTTTCAAAATTAAATCTATAAGTTAGGTTTTTGTGTGTATAACCCTGCTTGACCATAAACTTGTTATTTTTACTTCTTGTTCACAAGTCTGTGTTTCCAACAATGACACTTTGCTTAAAAATGCCATGGTAATATCCTGTTAATTTTTTATATTTTTTCTTTTACTCTCTTTTATTTTAATTTTTAACTTATATCCTTGTCAATGGCTTTGGAATTTGTCCGTCCTTGCATAAGACACCAAAATCAATCAAGCTAATTTTGAAATTGATTAATTCAAAAGAAAATAAAAGTTTCAGAATTTTTGTCTCGTATTTTTCAACCTTCTTTATGTTAGCTAGCTCCGTGGACAAAAATCTTGTCATCATCGGATCACATTTGTTCAAAATTTGAAAATCAAGATGGTGCTGCACTCTAGAAAAGAACATGTGGTGATGCATGGCAGGTACCATACAAGAACATCCAAAAGTAAGTACGGCATAAATTCGTCGCATTGCTAACTATGCTAACAACACGTGTGATAACACTCTTTGTTGCATGGAATTTTGTTGTTGATCACGTAGCACTACATGTCAACAACCAAAATTCATCCTTCTTATCATTTAATCTTTTATTTTATGTTCCTTTTCTGATCATCTCTTGCAAATGATCATACTCTTCATTAATCTTTCTGCCATGAGTTTTATAAACTCTGTGTTGAACTGGATGGTGCCTCCTGCTAGCTTGGTGATGCTAGCATGTTCATGGCCAGCCTTATGCTTTATCAATACATGTGAGTGGCTCTACAAATCTTTCTTTAGTGAGGATATGGAGGATAAAGTTGTTATAATCACTGGAGCTTCTTCTGGCATAGGAGAAGTAAGTAACCCCCTTCCTTCTCAAAGCATAGGAGAAATCTCTCGTTTTTACTTATTTCCGGTGCTCTATTTGCAGATTTAAGTGTTTAATTCTGTGATTTATCTTATTAGAAATTTTGAGTAATTAATTATAATGCAAGCTTGTCTCTATTCCTTATTAGATGGCCGAATTTAAGGATCAGATTTCCAAAATTCTAACTTGGAAGTATGATCTTTAAATTCTATTGAAACACAGGAAAGGGTTTTTATAGGATGGAGATGGGTTATGTCCTTGTTGTAATCAAATCAACTAGACTTCCAGATTATGCATTCTCAGTATCTGGAGATTTAAATTAGAAAGCCAATGCCATTCAAGGAAAAGGGTATCAAGCAAATTGACTTGCCTATGTAAACAAATTTAAGGGATTTATTTGAAGTGATCAAGTGTATGTTGAATGCTTAGACAAAGCCACAAAGATAGAATAGAAGTACATGCATGGCAAACAGATAGTTTTTGGTTGAGCTAATTTCAACCAAGAGTTCTTGAAATTGTTAAGAAGTGCATGAAGGCAGCTTGTGTTGCTGCAAATTGTTAAGAACTCTACATAAATTATATGCAGAGTTCTCAATCATAACCTGAAAAACACAGTGATTTTATCAAGCCTTCACTGGACACATTCTGCAAACTCATAGCAGAGGCATTTATGAAACCACTTGGAAATGATGTGGTCAAATTATGTATCAAATAGAAACCAAAAGACTGGAAATTATACTGGTGATAGAATCATAAACTCCTGCAATTTTTTGTACATCAACAAAAGCTTGTTTGTTGCCATGCGTGGAGGCCAAACCCATCTTTACCAACTCCCCCCATTCCCAGTTTTATTTTCTTCCCATAAGCGATGTCGATATTTTACAATAGCTGCTGCAGTCGTATATACAAGCCATTGCAGTGTATTGATCATTTAAATGAACTTGCTGGTTGTAATTGCAGCAAATTGCATATGAATATGCGAAGAGGAAAGCAATTCTTGTTCTGATTGCACGTAAAGAGCACCGGCTCAGAGGGGTCAGTGAGAAAGCTAGGTATATTGGTGCAAAGCATGTCCTGATTATGGCTGCAGATGTTGTCAAGGAGGATGATTGCAGGAGATTTGTCAATGAGACCATAAATTACTTTGGTCGGGGTATGTCTTGTATCATCGTTAATTAATGAATTCAACTGGATATTATAGCCAACAGAATCAGTGTTTTAGGAGATTCCTTAGAAGCAAATTTAGATTCCAATTGGAGCCTAACAGAAAACCCTGCTGGTCTGCCTCCCTCTCTATACTTCATTCTGTCTTTCTTGCTTTTTTATGCAGTGGATCATCTTGTCAACACAGCTAGTTTGGGACATACATTTTACTTTGAAGAAGTAGGAGACACCTCTGTGTTTCCCCATTTCTTGGTAAGGGCAGATCTAGCCTACATGAATGAGTAGATAGTCCCTGTAGATTATTGACAGAAATGGTCTTGTTGAGAATAAATTTTCCTAAAACATTGTGGGATTTGATTGTTCATTGTCAGGACATAAACTTTTGGGGAAATGTCTATCCAACTTATGTGGCTCTTCCATACCTACGTCAGAGCAATGGACGAGTTGTTGTTAATGCAGCAGTTGAGAGCTGGTTACCTCTGCCGAGAATGAGCTTATATGCTGTGAGTATATACAAATCAAGGGAACTTTTGTTTTCAATGCATCTTAGACGTAAAAAAAAACTAAAAATTTGGTATTTTTTATAAGCATACCATTACTTTGATCAAAATCTGAATAGTTAGAATGGTTACACTTAAGATTTTAATATTAGTTATCTTTATTGATTGTCCCACAACATACCTTTGGTTGAGCTGCATTTAGCTATACAAAACACATTGTCTGCAACAATTCATTATTGCTACGATTAGTGCTAGATTACACTAATTATCCTTCACCAAAACCAAAATGATAGGAACAATGGCAGGCTAGTGAGGTTCAATTTTATGGACATCATTTTTCTTGTCTGTTCGTGTCATGCCGTTAGACTTTATTATCCAGTCGACTATACTTGACTGGTACTTAGCAGCTGCACAAGCACAAATAATAGGAGTGAGTGTGTGTGTGTGTGTGTGTGTACTCATGTCCCTGTTTCATCCTCGTCTTTCTCTTGAATATTTCACCAAACTCCACATTAAATACTTCATTATAAATGGCTGAGACATCATTATATTCTCTTACATTTGTTACAATTTTTTATAGGCTGCAAAGGCTGCCCTGGTGAGCTTCTACGAGTCACTGAGATTTGAAGTGAATGGAGAAGTTGGAATAACAATTGCATCTCATGGTTGGATTGGGAACGAAATGAGTAGAGGCAAGTTCATGCTAGAGGATGGAGCTGCGATGCAATGGAAAGAAGAGAGGGAAGTAAGATTTTGCTAGCAAACTTTTCTCGGGATATGATTTTCTAATTATTCTGCTACCATCTGTTACTGGTAATTCTAGTTTACAATACTATTTTTTAATTGAAATTCTCCAAAAAGTAAAATTCATATGCATACTAGGAATATTCTTCGATCCATCAATGGCTTCAAAAGATTCAGGGCACATTGGCAGACTGCGAGGCAGTCACTTGTATCAGCATGGTTTTTCTTATTAACAACAGTGACAATCGAAGACAGGATATGCAACACTTGTCTTTATCTAGAGTAACTGTTGAAGTTTGAATGTTATTTACACGAGAAGGTGACTCTGTAATGTTTTCCTGATACATTTCCCTTTGGTTTTAGGTAAACGGGACTGGTGGTCCAGTGGAGGACTATGCAAAGATGATTGTGTCGGGAGCTTGCCGAGGACATCAATATGTCAAGTACCCAAGCTGGTATGACATATTCCTCCTTTACAGGATGTTTGCACCTGGAATTCTCAACTGGGCTCTTCGAATGTTGCTTGCACCGAATGGTTCAAGAAGAACGTCTCTGGTAGGCACCGGGAGACCTGCATTAATTTGAAGGCGGCGGATCTCCAAGGAAACTTCTTACTGGTCCTCTTACCTTCTTCCATCCCAATCCCGAGCAAACGCAGATGCAGAAACTGTAATAAAAAGAAAGAAAAAGCCTCGTCTCAGTAATCAATCATGCATTTGAGCTCTTTTATAGCTGGTTTTGCTTACTTACTGTCCATTTGTGGCTTTGTGATATTTTATGCTGAGAATAAACTGGAGTTCTCTTGTGATTTGTTCAATTACTTGTCTTTTATCCTTCGTATCATTACGATGATTCGGGATGGCAGTCGCTACACACCAAAAATCAAACCACAAGGAAGAAGGCTATCCATCCCCAACACTCCAAGCAAGCTTAGAAACACACCATCAAAAGGAGCCAACAAGTTTGCTTGACAGAAGTAGGAATGATAGTAATTGTATTATGAGTAAAAGTGGCTTGAGCCTCACGGCTAATAAGTTAAGCCTTCCACCTAGAAAGCCTTTTCTTACTCTCATCAAGATATTAGCAAAGAAAGCCTTTATTGTGTGTGGTTCTACACCATGTGATAGTAAAATTATCATATTAATTGTTAAGAGGCAGCAATATAGCTGTCTCTTGAAATTAAAAACATAATGCTCACTATTCATAACAGATTTGAAAGAGAGAAAATAGAAGAGAGAAGAGAAAAAGGGAGGAAGAAGAGGCAGTTGTACTCTCTGCCTTTATTTTTCGATTCCTAGCTCGTTCACCATTGGATCGAGCTGCGATTTTGACAATAGCTTATAAACATGTTACTCTTCATTCTGAACGGTTAGATCAAAGATTGATGGTGTAGAAACTAGCCATTTGACAAAAAAAAAGGCTGTCAGTATTGTGAGTTTTTCTCAAATACTTCTTCTTTAATCTTGTTGTTTTCCAAGAATAGATTGTTCTTGATGATATGTATGTTGCAACCCTTAGTTGAATACAAAAAAGAACAGTTGTGAACCCATTATTTGTTGATAGTGAAGGTTTTTAAGTGGACTACAGTCTCATGATTTTTCTTACATCAGGTTTTCCACATAAAAATCTTGGTATTGATTTGTGTGATTATTATTTTATATTTATTGATTGCTTGATCCTAATTTTGATTGCAGAAAAAAGAAAAAAAATTAAAACTTGTGGATTGTGAATTGAACCAGGTAGATTGATGTCCTGTTATTTGTTCCTAGTTTTCCTAACTAAGTGGTATCAGAGCACTGGTTGTATAGATTAAATTTCTTGTGCAATTAAAATGGAAAAGGAAGATTCGGGCATGATAAAACTCACTTCCTCTAATTATTTTCTATGGAAAACAATGATGGAGGATCACTTATATTGCAATGATGTGGCTTTGCTACTTGAGTGTAAAGGAAAAAAGTCTGATAAGATGGATGAGGCAAAATTGAATGGGTTTAATAGAAAGGTGACTGCTTATGTTAGAAAATGAGTATCTTCTAAGTCCATTAATCATATTTCTAAAGAACATGACTGCTATACAGTTTGAAAGATGTTGGAAAAAACCTTTCCTAAGAAGAGTGCACAAAACAAGGCTTTTGTAATTAGAGACCTTGTGAATTTGAAGTATAGAGATGGTGAAGATGCTTTAGTGCATATAAATGAATTCCAAGGGTTCTTAAATCAGCTATCATTGATGAATCTTGAGTTAACCGATGAGATGCAAGTACTAATCCTATTGAGTTCATTACCAGATAGTTGGGAGACTTTAGTGGTGTCACTTAGCAATTATACTTCGAATGGAAAGATCAGTTTGAAAATAATGAAGGATAATATCCTCAATAAAGAGAAGAGGAGGAAAGGGATAAGCAGTTCTGAGTCTCATGTACTTCTTATAGAAAGTAGAGGGAGAAGTCAAAGTAGGTTCTCTCACGACAAGCAAGGTAGAAAATCTAGCAATAGAAAAGGCAAGTGGAAGCCAAGAGGAAGATCTCAGTCAATGAAGAAAATTAAATATTATTATTGTGATAAACCTGGACATATTCAAAACGACTGTAGAAAGTATAAAAAAGATAAAAAAGGTAAAGATGAAGACAAGAATGAAGAGAATGGTACAACTGCAGTTGTATTTGTATTTGATGGTCATGTTGCCATTGTTTGTGATGATGGTTATGTGAATCTTGTATGTTAAGATACTACCTAGGTTGCAGATTTAGCAGCTTCTTACCATGTCACACCCTAACGTGATCTTTACACATCTTACACTGCAAGTGACTTTGGTCAAGTTAGAATGGGAAATCAAGGGATGACTAGTGTTGTGGGAATTGGAGATATTTGGTTGGAAACCAATACTGGGTGCAAGTTGTTACGCAAAGATGTTAGGCATGTGACTGATATGCACTTACACTTGATCTCTACAAGTACTATTGATGAAGAAGGTTATCACAATTACTTTGGAGATGATAAATGAAAGCTCTCCAAAAATTCTTTAACTGTTGTTAAAGGGAAGAAAATGGATCTCTACATATCACAAGCTAAGGTAATCAAAGTGGAGGTAAATGTAATTAAAGATTCTATATGTCACAAGCCAAGGTGATCAAAGGAGAGGTGAATGCAATTGAAGATTGCTCTACTGATTTATGGCATAAATAGCTTGGATATTTAAGTGAAAAAGGCATTGGCATCCTTGCCAAGAAGAACTATCTTCCATTAAAAGGTATGAATTTGAATACATATACTCATTGTTTAGTTGGTAAATAACACAGAGTTGCGTTTCAAAGATCACTTTCACATAGAAGATCACATATTCCTGATTTAGTTCATACTGATGTTTGCTCTATGATTGATAAGTCTCTTGGAGGTGCATTGTACTTTGTCAGTTTCATTGATGATCACTCTAGGAAAATTTAAGCCACATATTTAAAATCCAAAGATCAGGTGCTTGATGTCTTTAAAGATTTTTATGCTAGAGTTGAAAGAGAAACTGATTGAAAGCTGAAATGTATTCTAGATGACAATGGTGATGAATATAGGGGTCCTTTTGAGAAGTACTACAGGGAATATGGTATCAAGTTAGAGAAGATAGTTCCTAAGACTCCATGGCAGAATGGAGTGGCTGAGAGAATGAACAGAACAATTGTTGAAAGAATTAGATGTATGCTTTCTCATGCAAAGTTGTCTAAGTCTTTTTGGAGTGAGGCAATAAAGGCTGCAGTTGCTATGATCAATCTTTCTCCATTAGTTACTCTTGACTTTGATGTTTTAGATAGATTTTGGAAAAGATAGGATGTCTCTTGTGGACACTTGAGAGTATTTGGATGTAGAACGTTCATACATGTTTCTAGGGATGAAAGGTCTAAGCTTGACAGTAAGACAAAGCAGTGTATTTTCTTGGGCTCTAAAGATGATGAATTTGGCTATAGGTTGTGGGATCCAAAGGAGAAGAAAATTATGAGAAGTAGAGATGCTATTTTCTTTGAAGATCAAACCATTGAAGATTTGAATAGAAAGAGAAAACAAAGTCTACTATTTTTATTCCTTCTAATTCAAATCTAAGACCTACTCCACAATTACCTTTGGTGCCTGTTAATCATGGTGGAGATTTGCAAAATGATGATAAATGGTGGTTTTCTTATTGAGCCATTAGAGATCCTGAATCAACTAATAATGATATTGATATTATTCCTAAACAGGTTATGTGACACGACTAAAAGATTGATGTCTTCTCCCAAGTGCAGGAGTGTCGAAGTAATAAATAACCCGGAAAGACCGGGGTCGAACCACAGGGAGGTTAATTGTAAAAATTATAAAAAACAA